GAAAGTGTGGTTTATGCCGTCAGGTCGGACACAATCGCAAAAACTGTCCGAATCGGGCGTCTGGCTCGACCACATAAATTTTGTAATACAATAAATCTTTTCAATATTTGTGTTGTAAACATTAGGGTTTTCCATTAATAAAACTGTTAACACAATTTAAGAAATTCAATATAGGAAATTACATTAGGGTTTTCGCGTACAACAATGATTAACGATATTCAATCTAGGAAATTACAACTGTTAACACAATTTCATCTGACCCATGCATCATCAGCATTACATCACTGTCTGTTTTGACTTCCTCCAACCACACATTAGGTCTTCCTGTCGCATGCGAGGTTGTTGTTCGTTTTCGCTGGATCCTTCGAATTTTTTCCCCCTCCGCGATGTCTCCATCTAGCCACCGCATCAACTCCCGCTTCAGATGCTCCATGGAGTGAATGTGCCAGAATTTCATTTTCATCGCAGGTTTCGTGGCGGAGAATATAACGTAACCATCTCTGCTAAAAATCATAGGCGACGTCATTACGTAAATAACGGAGTACAAAATAAAAATACAGTGCGAGAAAGTGTGAGAAATTTCAAAGAAACGGACGAATTATTTATAAAACAGCAAAAAACCCTAGTTTTGCCCTAGGCGCCAAGTGAGATGGCGCCTCCTCTCATTTTTAAGGAGCATGCGCCATCTCACTTGGCTAAAAGACAAGGGAGGCGCCAAGTGAGATGGCGCCTAGGGCAAAACCCTAGGTGCATGCGCCAATTGAGATGGCTCCTCCTTTGTGGAGCCATCTGAAACATGGTTATTTGCGTAATTTTTTCCGAAACCCGGTTATTTGTGAAATATTTTTTTAATACATGGTTATTAATAAAAAAAATTCTAGAGTTGTAGCATCCCAATTTTATTTATTAGTTATATATTTGATTAATTAGGTATTTGTTTGATTTTGTGATTAATTGATTTAATTTAAATTATTTAATGTATGTTATATGTGACGGGTTAGTTGGGATGAGATTGTTGAACCGTTGAGTTATCGCTAGGAGATGATGTTGGTTAGTGAAGAATTATTTAATTAGTGAGAATTGTAGAAAAATAGTGAAATATTGGTAATTGGGCCTAATATGTGGAAAATGTGAAGAGTAGTAGAGATGATGGTGATCTCATTAGCTTGTTCATTTGGTTAGTGTTATTTTGTTAATGGTCTAAGAAAATGAGAAAATTAGGTTAGTAAAGGGAAAAGAGAAAACAATCAAAAGTAGACACAAAGGAAAAGGGAGAAAGAGGAGAAGAACCCTAAGGAGAAACTCAAGAGTTCATCAAGAAATCAAGATAAGTGTGGGTTTTTACATCTCTATGGGAATTGTATAATGATATGTAATGGGTTGTTGTATGCTTAGGATGAAAACCCCAATTTCTTAGGTTTTGAAATTGTTAGGTTTGGATGAGGAATCCTTGAATATGATGATTGATTGTGTTGTGATGTTGTTGATTGATAAATACATGTTAGATATATGTTATAATGCTTTAAATTGTAGCAATTTGATGTTAAACATGTGTTTTGGGGGTTAAAATCGCATAGGAAACAATGTTGTCATCGCAGAATTTTTCTACAAATCACAGAGGGCGCTTAATATTGTAAGTCGTGCTTAGCGCGGGTCGCGACAGTGATTTTGGCGTTTAGCGCCTGGAAACTCGCTTAATGCAGTCACTTGGGAGTTGAAATATTTGTATTTTCTTAAATTGCCTTGGGGTTATATATACTTATATTTTATGTTAATTTATACTTAATTTTTGGGAATTTAAAATTAAGTGTTAGATGATTTTGAATGCTTATTTGATCAAACATGAAATTTTGTTTATATGTTTTACGTGTCTGCATGTGGTTGGTGTTGGATTGGAATGATACTTTGTATGTTACTTTCTATGTGATGTTATGATGGTTTGGAGCAATGATACTATGAATGTGAATTGTATATGGATAATTCATGAGTATGCGCGTGTATGTGTAATTGTATGGTAATTCAATTGTGATGAATTATTAAAGATATGCATGAATGTTAAGATTGAGGGATGGTCTTAATTGAATATGATTGTTGAAATTGCACATGCATCATTGTTGTCAAGAGGCAATGCTTAGTTATGTGGGAACTAGTGACTTATCCCAAACCTAGAGTGGGGTTTGAAAATTTTGGGAACATGCTTTTTGTGTGTTATTGGTCTAGGAAATGGACCCAGCTTAAAGTAAAAACTAAATAAAAATAACATTGATTGGTACCACATGCTTGAGTCTTGTATTGAGTCACATTGTATTGATGTCATAATATGAAGTTATGTGCATTATGTGTCAATGGTGAATTGGTGAGATTGTGGATTGTGAATGTATACTTATGAATAGTATGATTAATTGGGTGATGCTATGTTACAAAGTATATGAAGTGTGAGTTAATTCATCTTTATATATGTATGTTATCGCATATATATTGTTATATGATTTCGATAATTATGTGATTTCTCACCCTTTTGTTGGAATGATGTTTTATATGACATCGTTCAGGTACTGGAGATTGGAGTTGCTTCTAACAAGAGTGTAGCTGAGGAGTTGTCTTTATTTTCTTTTTGTATTTTGAGTTTAGTCAATGCTCTGATGTTATGTAACACTGAAGAACGTTTTGAATTCATGTTTTGAGAGATACTTTGTATACTCTTTTTATTTTGTTATCCTTATTGAAATTATATGGTGAATTGGCTTTTAAGGTCTAGGTTGTTCCAATGAATGAATTTGTTATGAGACTAAAATATTATGTATGTTTGAATGGTAATTATTCCACTGCAAAATGCATATGTGAGATTGTATGAAAAGCATGAATTTTAATGAAGTGTTATTGAGCATGACGGGTGTATGTGATGTTTGAATTATGTGTGACACCTTTGATTGATATGCATGATTATATTACTCTGATTTATTCTGTATTATTCTGTAGGATTTTAGAGGGTGTTTCAATTTGCATCTTGACTAGGATGGATCTAGGTATGAGACAAGAAATCGTGGAGATCGTAGGATTCATATATCATTTTCAACAGACGATGTCAATGTTCTGCACAAAAACAAGATGATGATCGATAAAACTAATTCAAATCTTACGTCTCGGCAGAGTTTTGATTCTGCCGCGGTGGATAAAATCAACCTATAAGATTAACACTCCAACATTTAAATTAATATGTGAGTGAAAAGGAGAATTTCAAATAGAAGAGAAATTAACTCAAAATGACTCACTTTTCTTCTTTATAAAGAGGAGTTTGCTTGATACTATTGCTTAAAAAGCTATAACACGAGATATAAAATTTGTTACCGTGTCATAATAAATTGGTCAAAATTAAATCACTACAAATTAGAATCTTTAATTGTAATTTGTGACTAGCATGTCGTATAGCCTCCAAAAAAACCATCAAAAAACCAAAAAATTTAAAATCGTCTTGTCTATATAAAATGTGTCAAAATGATGAGAAAATAAATTATGTACTGATGGTGTAAAAAATTTTACATTGTTATTCAATAAATAATGTGTATTCTATCATATCATACTAATAATTTAAAATAGTTTTAATGATTTATTAGATTGGCAGTAATTTTCTATTGAACGACTGTATAAAAAAAATTTATACCGATCGTGTATGTCTGTTAAACTCCAAAATGATCTGGGATATGTTTGCAGCAAAAAGTGATTACAAATGGCAAACAAACTTTTCCGGGGTAAATCCATATTGTGAATGTGGTTTAGTGTTATTAATTAGCGTGGTTAGTGTAACTATAGATATAAATGTGTAGAAATTAATATGATATTTTAAGATGATGTGGAAACAACATATTTAGTGATTGACATTTATTTGAATTGCTTTTAAAATAAATATGTGTAAGTTATTAATTAAGGTTTCTTTAATAAATGACAAACCAACATCCTCTAGTAGTTAGTGTGATTAGTGCAATTGTAGACATAAATCAATAGAAATTTAATGAATTTAAGTTAGCATGTGTGTTAACAATACATTTATTAAAAAACACTAGTAAAAATGTTACTAAGATTCTTAATTCTTTCCACTGGAAGTCATAAATGTAATAATCTGAACTTCTGGTTATAGCTATTTACATACTCGAGAATTTAAATTAAAAAATTAGTTATTAGTATCATTTAATTTTGACAGGTTCATTTGTTTTTATATAAAAAAAAATATTTTTTCTTATATTTTTAAAAATAATTTATACAAAAATAATTTTTAAAATATTAAATTCATTTTTTATAAGTTACAAAGATTAATTTTGACATCCTATAATATAAATCTTATAATATAAATATATTATTAAAGATTTAAACATTGTTAAAATCATAATTTTTTTGAGTTAAAAGATACTGCATTTAAGTGCATATCCTTTATTTTCAATTTTTTTTTTTAAAGTTTTGAAAAAATTATTTTTATGAAAAATATTAAAAATAACTTCAAAGTTAAATAATTTTTAAAATTTTAATTTCTAAAAAAATCATAGTGAAAAAATAAAATATTTAAAATAATATTTTAAAATAATTATTTAAATCAATTCTTGATCAAAAATATGTAACAAAATCATTTTTAAAAAAAACTGAGACAAATATCCCAAAGAAAGTGATTATCTTCGTCATGGCTATTCAAGTCTAAGATCATACATGCATGCAAGAGAAAGATAACCATAAAAGATAACAAAATAACATATTATAACTTCTTTATGGCTGTAAACTGAAAGCCACGAATGCAACCAACAACCGGCACAACAACCACCTTTGTCTTTCAAGAGTTAGCCGGAACAGTACCCCAAAATGTTACACCGTGCTGTCATATCAGCAAAAACTATAGTTTCATCTTAATTACAAAAGGCTAACAACCTTCTAAAAAGAAAAACTATATATATATCATACCAAAGTTCAAGGATAACAGTCTCTACCAAAGCTTCTTCCTCCCCGCCAAGCTTCATCTAAGGCCACAGGAATGAAGGTGGTAGCGCACCTGGATCAAGCTCCCAGAAGCCGTTGAGATTGCCATGCTCTTGTGTCAGTTTGAAAGCTGGGATTTGGTGTGAGAAAGTAAGCAAATATTTTCTGGGCATTCTCACTTTGACAGAAGAACCGCCAATTAATTTGCCTCTGAAGACGCTACGATATCCACTAACATTCTCCAAAAATAAAGTCTCTATAAACCAACTACCTTCTTCAAGAACTTCCACTATGTCATACTCCAAATTTTTCAGATCAGAACACTTGAAATCATTTGACCATTGGCTATATACAGCCCATACTTCACCTTTTCTTGGATAGATGGCGTAACTCTTACCGATAGCCTCGGCTTGTACTTGATGTGAAACACAAGACAGGCTATTGTAAATAGAGAAAAAATCATTTGTTTTCATGATTCTAAATTTGCCACAGGTAGTAAGCATGTCTTCATTTATCCATTTAGTGGTACCCTCTGGTAGCTGGGAGCAAGCAAGCCAATTAACATGCAACTCAAGACCAGGGCTAGTCTCAATTTTTTTAATCTCACCATAGTATTTTGGCATTCCATCTTCATCGCTGTAAAATGCCCATATTTGACCAATCTTGAACTTGTCAAGGGACCTCCAAGTTTCAAAGTTGAAGAATTGAGCATCTGGAATTTCAAAAGCATCAAGGGTTGAAGTTGTAGCATGGTCGTCATCCATATCATCAAGAGAATCTTTCATCTCTGTCGGATTGCTTGGTTCAATATTAACCTTGGGAGTGGATTCAATTTCTTCCGGCCTCGTCAAGGGTTTTGATTTTTTTGAAGAATTTGTATTCTCACTGCCACGTGAACTATGCTCAATCTTCACATTCAAATTTCGAGGAACAGCAAGCTCTTCAAAATTCATTGGTATAGATGCGGGATCAAATTCTAAATATCCTAACTGAACACCTGCTCCTTCCTGACCAGTCATTTTGAAAGATGGAATCCTGTGAGAAAATCTAAATAACTCCAGGGATGGAATTTGAAATGGCCGGTTATCTTTCATAATTTGAAAGAGGCTTACAAAACCTTTCAACTTCCCCAAGTACACAACAGATACACCCTCACCCTCGACATAATCTGACAAGATTTCCACAAACTCATATCTATACTGCTTACGAAATTCCGCATTCATGTACCATTTGATATCCCAATTTTTAAAAAGAGCCCATGTTTCTCCCTTTCTAGGATAGACTTTAAAAGTATTGCGGCCAATCTTATCACACTGAGCTAGATGAGAAAACATCAGATGATCTTTAATGATCTCAGTGGTACCAAGTTTAAATTTCCCACAAGCCACAGGTAATTCCTTATCTACCCACTTGATTTCATCATGGTCATCTGGATGTGGTTCAAGCCATGTTGCCTTCAAATGAAATCCAGGAGAGAGAACTTCTCTGATTAAAGCGTAGAATCTAGGCATGCCATCTGTTGTATCATAGAGAGCCCAAATCTGCCCAGGCGCAAAACATTCTTTTTTTCTGTCCTTGTCAAAATCCCTGAACTCAGCATTGAGATAGACATAAGCATTAGGACAATTTGTTGCCTTAGAGATCAAATTTGGAGAAAAATGCTCTGAAGTTTCACCCATCTGTTTTGATCCACCCACAGATTCTTTTCCATTTGCCCAATTTTTCCCCTCATTTCTATTCAGTGAGCTCTCTTTTGAATGAAAATTTTGTTTCTGCTTTACCTTTTCATGTTCATCTTTTGGATCAGCTGCTGAACCATTCGGATCATTCATTTTAGCGGCCTCGTTATGACTTTGACCATTAACACGAGGTGCTCCATTCTCCCCACCCTTTTTTGAAGGTCTTAATAAGTCATTGTTACTCATATTATCACTGTAGGAAACATTAGGCTTCTGTCGCACAGATCTGTGTGGCTTCCCAGTTGAATGGTTTTTTACACCTGGAAAGCCATTCACACCAGCAAATATTTCACTGTCGGAATCAGAATCATTACTGCTTGAAGAATCAGAGCTTAGATTGAGTTCTTCCAGTGTAGTCCACTTTCTCTTCACACTTGGCTTTCCCGAGACATCAACAGGGTCTTTATTGTTGAAAGGCCTTGTATTGGACTTCTCAGTATGCGAGTTGCTTTGAGATCCGACATTTTCCTTCCGAGTACCATTATTCAAACCATCTTTCTGCTGGCCAAATGCTTGCTGACTTGAGTTAGTTGTTTGAGACGAACCTTGCCCGTCCACGATATATGCAACGAAGGGCCTATGGCATTGTTGACAGCGAATAGATTTATTTATAACTTCTCTATAGTACTGATACCTCACGGTGCAAAATGGGCAGGCAGTCCAAAAAGTGCGGCGCACGCCGTTTTGCTGCTGCTGCTGTGCGGGCTGCTTATTTTGCTGCTGCTGCGCGGGCTGCTTATTTTGCTGCTGCTTTTGGGTGTTTGAGTTTGTAAAGTTGGGACTGACATTGTTTTTCATTGCAGAATTGAAATTCGAAGGAGCCTTCTGTTGATTTTGATGAGGCATAAAAGTTTTGTTCAACCTAAGCTTCACGTCATACCTAGTTCGGCTTATGGTGTCTGAAAGCACTCTTTGAGCTTCCTCAATCAGCTTAAACGCAGATTCAGCACCAGAAAACTTGTTTTTATCGGGATGAAGCTGAAGAGCAAACTTTCGGAACTGCTTCTTAATCATTGCAACACCAGCTGTGTGTTCTAGCTGAAGAATTCCATACCAGTCCTTCTCATTTTCGAACACTATCTTCTCTGCAGAGCAGTGCACATCACAAACAATGAGCATTTGAGATATATTATCCAAATCAGGATACAACTGCTTAGCCTTAAGAGCAAATTTACGAGCCCCTGCGAAATCCTTGTTTTCCATCTTCTTTTCAGCAATGTCCTTGGCCCTTAAGGCCTCTTCTTTGTTGCATTCCATCAAAGATTCAAATCTCAAAACCGTAGAGTGCAAGGTGTAGCCAAGTGTACTGCCAAAAAGTATAAAGCTAATTTAACTTCTCTAGAACAGCTTAACCAAATTAAAATGCAGAGAGTGAACATACCTTCCAAAATCCCACTTCCACCAGTCTCCCAAAAGATGTGCAGCCTTCAAATTTACATCAACCCTGCATTGACCAATTCAAATCTTGAAACAATGTATGAACCATTGAATTTTTTTTATATCACAAACAAAATCCCAAGTATAAAATCACAGCATCAGTGGATAGGCTGGACAGTTGAATCCATCCAAAAAAAGAGTGGAGCAATCAATAATATAGTCCTCTAACACAAAATTGTAAACGACCATGTGTTGTATGTGCGTGAACCTGTAAGACTCAACCAAGCAACATGTATACAGAAAGTGATGATTACGCTCATCATTTTTTTATCCCCAACACAATGACTCACTTCAAAAGTCTCTCATTTTTTAATCAAATATAAGAGAATTATGTTCATCATTTCACCATTAAAATTTATTGGATTTAACAACTTCAAAAATATACAAGTGCAATCCAATATATTTTAATGGTGAGATGATGAACCCGGACCTTCATGTTTGATTCAAAAATAAAAGGATCCAGATCTGTTTAAAATAAAACACACAATCTAGAAAATAAAAACCAATTTTTTTCACAAAGTAAACAAACCCTAAATTTTCCAATTCCACTTTTCCACAATCTAATTTTCTTTCAGACAGCACATACACCACCAAAATCAATTTTCCAAACCAGATACAACCACAAAATTCATGCTATGAAAATGATTCAATCAAACAACAAAAAACCACCATCAAGTTTCAAACCCTTATCAAACATATTCCACTAAAAAAACTCTAACCCAACAACTAAATCTAAATCAATCAAACAAACTATGATCATTTCACAATCTACTTCACACCATCATCAAAAAATTACACACTTCAACTTCCCCTAAAGCAGCTGAAGCAAGAAATTCAAACTCCAAAGCAAAACAAAGTTCAAATTCAAATCAAATAACAAACAAAAACCCTAATCTACTTCAAAATAAACAACTGAAACGTTAAAAAAAATTGAATGAAGCAAAAAAAAAAAACACGTAACGGAAAAATCTCGAAACGACAATAAATGGACCACGACACACCAGATTCATCACCATGTAAGAAAATGTACACAACAAACTCAACATGCATGAACTACAGAGTAAAAATCACGAAGCCCTAAATTTTGTTAAGCAACGAAACAGAAAGAAAAAAAGCACAAAAATATAAATTTAGAGCAGAGAAAACAGAGAATAGAGAAAAAAAGAGTTGAAATGGACCTTGGCAGTAACTGGTAGTGGTAAAGAAGAGATTTTGAAGAAGAGACCAAATTTCTGACTTGTGAAAATGACACACAATAACACAATGCAAACACCAATGTCGTCGTTCTTTATCGTTTATATAGTATTACAAAGTTTTATAAATTTCATACATTCCTCAAACATTCATTCATTTTGGATTCTTCATCTTATCATGCAAGCCCGTTTGGCCCAAAACTAATAAAGGCCCGTTTATTTCTCAAATTTTCTCTTCTCTTTAGAGACTCATTTGATGAATCTAAATTCTCTGAAATAAAATTATCATGAATGATAAATTAATGATAAACGATCTTGGTCATTGATTTGATATTGGATGGTTGAAATTTGTAATTGTGTCACGTTTTGAAAATAAGTTTTATTAACTAGGTCATGGAATTCACTGATTCAAAGAAACTGGTAAATTTTATTCGGATATGCAGTGATGACTAAAGAGATAGTGTCAGAGAAGAAGAAGTTGTTAGCAAATGTCTTTTTTACGCTATTTGTGTTAGGTTAATGTGTTTGTTTACGAACAAAAAAATCAGTATTCAATATTATATTTCATTCATACCACAATATTGAAAAGCATACCTGAAACATACTATAGCATGTGAATGTATCTCATCTCTGATATTGACATAATTCTGACATTGTGTGGTGTATTAAGTGTGTAGGAGTATCATGTCATGCGACAACAAAACCATGCTGACATCCATGCAATTCGGAAAAATGATACACGTCATTCTGATAATTATTAAAGGGTATTTTAGTATTTCTAATTGTTTTAGATAACTTAGTTATTAAGTATATTCTATTAGGACCTGTGTGACATTCTCTTTTGTGTATAAATATACTAATTGTAAATGTCATAAACAACAACAACAAGATTTACTCCTCTTACATCTTTTACAGCTGTCATTCTCTTTGCTCTTAAATTTATTCTTTGTTCATCATTGATTCTTGTACACTAACAATAATAGCAATAATTGATATGGAACGAATTCCAATAACTGTACGTTCAATTCTATTTATTGCTTCCATATTTGTATGAGTTATTTTCTCTATACATGAGTGCATCTAAGGTTATTGAAAACCATCAGAATATTTGTGTATTCCTTTGTTTGGTTATGGTTTGAGTTTCAAATAACTTGAAGAATTTATCTAAACATGAAACTTTAACATGCCTTATATCCACATTATCAAAATCAACTAAACCACATCAATATCACTTCTTCTTCCTTGAACATCCATCAAACTTACTCACTTAAATTATCTTACCTGGGGGTTTGATTCGATTCCCTCATGGTAGACTATGACCATATAGACTTTATTTATGGCACCAAAGCATATCTGTCGGAAAATCATGGAGATCACACATACATGTAGAGTCAAGAGAAAATAATACTAAATAATAATATTTCTTCAATACTCCATGCTTGGAAATGTCAAATTTTCTAAACAAGCATGGGATAGCCGCAACACGATGTATGCAAGAAAAAATTACTCTCACACTATGTACCTTAACTTTTAAGGAACACTTATCTCGCTTCACCAAAAGTACATAACTATATATTGATTACGTACATGGAATCAAACCTATATTTGATGAACTAGTTGTGATCAAATCTCTATTAATTCTTGTTGATCTCATTTTTACTACACTAAATGGACTTGAATTTGAATTCAAATAAATTTTGTTGCACTCTGTATTCCTAAAGATCCAATTGAATTTGATACTCTTTGTAACTTGTTGATTAACTATATAGGTCATCTTAAAAGAAATGAAGATTCATTTCCCATGTCTGTTGTCCATGGTGCTAATAAAAGAAAACCACATTTTCCATATTGTTGTTAGACTCCTAATCAAACCAGCCTCTTTTAACTTACTTGTTTGCATTGGTGCAGATTAGGGTGGTAATACAGATGATAAAATATCAACCTCATCATACTTAAAAAATTTTATGGCAAACCTATCTTATGGACATACAAGAAACAAAGATCAATAGCTCGATCATCCATTAAGGTATTATATAAAAACCATAGCAATTAAAAAATAATCGTATGTGACTTCTTAAACTAATTAAAGAATTATAGTATAAATTCAAAAGACCCCAAAAATTCCATGTGATATTATAAGAGCAACTTATTTATGTTGAAATATTGTCTTTGATACTAAAATGAAGCATATATCTAAAGACTATTATTTTATTCATAAACAAATTCAACTTGATACTTTAAATATCTCTCATATATCCATGAAGTGTAAATTGAATTACATTCTCACAAAACCCTAGTAACACAAAACTTAAAAGATCTTACACTCAATTTGAATTTATTGATGGAAACAGGGGATATATAAAAGAATCATCCAACACGTACGACTGCATAAGAACGCTACACAGCCACACAACTCGGCCAAACGATACCCCTCATTATTTAGGTTAAATCATAGCATCAATTGATACAAAACAAATGTCAATAATTGATAATAATTTTATGTTCAATTCTATTAATTACTTTCGTTAGATCTATTTTTTCAACATGTGTAATGCATCTATTGTCAATGAAAATCGTCACAGTCTTTTGTGCACTCATTTGTTTGTCACATCATCAACTAAATGAGTGGAACCACTAATTAAATATCTTGTAAATTGCAAACAATTAAACATATAACAAAGTCAAAGTTCTCATTGTAAAAAAAAATGATTATCGAAGTTTTCATATTTGGTTCAAGACCTAATAATATAAGTGCAATCGAAATAATATGTTACCTTTGTCGCCGTATTATCTCTAGCATCATTCCTCTGCGATACTTCTATCAAAGACGTTGATACCATAACTACCATCTCCCTCCCAAAGCGACCTTGATACTAGTGTAGCAACACGTGCTTTGTACAAGCAAAAAGATATCTTTATAATTTTTTATTAAATTGTTTATAATTTGTGATGCGTGCCTATATAAATTTATCAATTTGATAGATATATATATATATATATATATATATATATATATATATATATATATATATATATATTATATTTTAAATTGAAAGATGTTTATGGTATTATATAATTATGAGTAATGATATGGATTAAGTGAGTTTTTTTTTCTTTAATCCCAATTTTTAGAGGTAACGGACCCTTGTAATCTTCGTTTTAGTAGAAAAGTAAATAAAATCATAAAAAAATATTGTTTCAACTAGGATTATGATTGAGATTCTTTCAATTATTATATTTAACTAAAGTTATTTGACCACCACTTGGGGGTGAACCGACCTTTGGCCGAAAACGGTTCCAGAGGCATCCAATAAACTTTGAGGGTAGACCTCGTGAGTTCGTACGAAACATGAAGCTCCATAATAAAGATCATGTATACATACCTCAAACAAGTAAAAAAAAGTTCATTATAAATATACACACGTCTATTTATCCATTGCAAATATATTTTGCACACATGATGTGGCAAAAAAATGGGGGAGTTACCCCTAGTAGGGAAACGACCTTCTCATCCTTAAGCATTTGATCTGGGTGAATCTACTCCCTCGAAACACGCAATGGGTGGTGAAAATGCTCCACTTAGTGAAAGACATTCTTGAAAGAATATGAAACATCCCCAAGGTTGGTGATCATACAATCAGTTAAAAGTTGAGGTGAATAAGCATTCTCGTGGTGCAAAGCTTATAGTTCTCTTTGAGCCATCAAAAGAGACGCCTTAGTAGATTTCAGGGTAGCCTGAAAAGAAGTTATAGACTTGTCCTTTCTTGATAAACCCTTAACCAAAAGAGTCACTTGATGGATAAGAGAGCTAGGTAGATTAAGGGGGCGTAAAGAATCACAAATCCCAATGAGATAAGTGGAAGTTGTTTGTGTTTTTTATAGGTATGTATCTCGTTGGAGCGTGAGCCTACGAATATTTTTCTTCAGTCGATTTTTCTCTTCATGTTGTTGGTTAAACCAAAGATCATCCCAACGACCGGTTTCACCAAGGGCCAAAGTAGCGGAGGCACTCCGAGTATATTGCGCCATAGTCCTTAGTTATTCCTCTAGGGCACGCCAAGAAAGATTGGCTAAATATGAAGAGTCATCCTCTGAAGGAGGAACTAGACGTTCCCCAGAAGAGCATGGGTATAACCCTGCTAATGGCATAAGAGCCAGAGGACCCAATGCATACGACGTCCATTTGAGGAACATTCGAAGCAGTAGTACCTCAGAGGGCTCCGAAGTGGTGCAAGGGCATGCTATAGTTCTTTCGGGCCAAATTTTGCATCGTAAAAGCCGGAGCGTTTCCTCGTCCTTCATTGAATCTCCATGCAATCAGTACCGAAATAAATATGTCATAAGTAAGCAAGTTAAAGGCAACTGAGCCAAGATCTTTCAAGACTTACAAAAAATAATCTTCCTTTCTTCCTCGTAAGGGCTTAGGAGGGAAACTATTTTGGGCTGACAATAAAGATCCTCAATTGGCCATTCAAAAAGAGATGTAGTTCATCTAGAACCTTTTTTGCACATGAGAGCTACTGTGCAAATAAATACAGATGATCAAAGTCTCAAACGCATCCAATGGATCCTCGCATTTCACGCCTAACATATGAGAAAGAGCGCTTGCTTCAAGTACACAATTCCAAATCCAGTTTCAATTCGCTCGTTTCTTTCACATACTTACTTGAGCGTTGGAGTGTTAACCTTGTAGGTCAGCCTCCTTTCGCCGCACTAAAAACTAGGGGTGGTAAACAGGCATGTTCGCGCGTTTAGGCCCGCTTCGCAAAAGCCCACAAAAAATAGAGTGAGGCGGACATAGTTAAGGGTGTGGGCCTAAAACTTTGTCCGCTCTACACTAAAAGTGAGGACAGGGAGGGCCCGCGAGCTTTGCATGTTTTTAACCTAAAAATACAAAAATTAATGTCAATGCCCTTGCTCACAAAAGCCCGAAAAAAATGGAGCGGGACGGAGAGTGCATATTTGAGTGTGCAAGGCTAAACCATTGGCCCATCCCGCACTAAAGTACAGGAAAAACGGACATGTCCAACGGATCAATCCCGTTTTACCACCCTTACTAAAAACTAGAATCCATCGTAATCCTCCATAATCGTCAATTCTTATAACCATTATTAAATTCATTAACATACTCGTGAGATTCAGAGTTCAAATTTTAGTATTGATATTCAACCAAGTAATATCAATTTTTATCAATTAAATTAGAATTTATACACTTTTAATATACATTTTTTTAATTGGTCAAAATATTGAATATATTTTATTTAAATTTATAAATATCTATATGCTCAAATAGTACCTACAATTATCTATAATTCTGAAAATGATTAAAAAAATGACTACTTACTCTATTTTATTTGGTGTATTATGTATTAATTGTTTTATCTATTTATATATTCAAATCACCTTTATTTTAACTTTTCATCTCAATATTTTTTATTTAGTGAGTAGTATTTTTTTTTAGTCTAATTTACTCTCAAACTTTTTATTCTCACGTTATACAAACTAATTTGTAAATTATATTTGAAATGAAGAAAATAAAATAATGTACAAATATGATACTATAATTATAGAATATAATAAAAGTGAATATTCATAAATAGTTAACCTTTTAAAATTTCAAAATATTGAATTAATTAATATTTATAAATAAGGAAAATAAAAATATAAAAAAAAATTAAAAATGGTTAATGGGCATATTTTATTCTAAATTAAAAAAAAAACACATTTTACAAAAATATTACTACATACAACCGTCAAATATAATAAAAATTTACGACAAAAATATAAAATTTTAACTTCTTTCTATTATTTAATTAAACAATATTTAGAAAATAATAACTAATAGAGAAAATAATACTTTAAATATTTATATGAAATATATACACCTAATAATGGTCAAATTCTATTCTAATTTTAAAGAAAAAATGTTCAACAAATATGCTACAATTTTATAAATATAAGAAATATTTAACCAAAAAAAATCGTACTATGAGAAAATTTAGATTCAATCCATTTGGTTTTTTTATTAACTATAAAGTAATATTAATAACCATTTTACAACTCAAAAATATTTGGATGAGATTATAATGTATCTTGATCAATTTAACTAAAGGTTTTGGGTTTAAACTCATTTCTGAGCACATAAGTGTTATTGTGGTTCTCCGAGATTAGACGAGTTTTTTGTTTTTAGTCCTTAAATTATTTTTTTAATTAATATCTAGATGTTAAATCCTTTTTTTTTTTTTTAATTTTAAAGTTAAAATTCGTAAAAAGATCTGTAGATTTTCTATAAATTTTTCATCAAACT